TTTTAAACATTCCCAAACTAAAATTAGCGACTTCTTCTCAGCAAAGTGATTTTTTTGTGCATGATATTCTATTGTTAATAAATAACAATATTGCATATATGGTACATATAATATAATTATGTTATAAATATATTTATATATAAAAATATATTAAAAAGAAATAACACTGCAATTATTCCTTTTTTCTTTATTGAAACAATATAAGGGAGACAACAATGACGAACCAAGAGTTATTTCTCTTAATCAAATGCTCTTCAAAATGGAGGATAATGGTAAACAGAACAGAATATTTTATTGGCATTAAATACAAACAATAGTTCGTTATATGTAAAACTGTTCGCTATAAAAACTTCTGATATAAGGAACTAATTCGCTATATGCTTACAAGGAACTCCGGATATAAGGAACATATTTTGAATGTCCCGATGAGTTCGCTATAAGCGGAGTTTACTGTATACTGTTTTTGGCTAGTTGAAACTCCACCAAGCCTTGTTGCTGATGAAGTAAACAGTTACTTGCCAGCTTACTGATCCAGTCGTTACTGGCAGCCAGTTAGACTGTTTTACTTGCTAATTTCTGATACCTGTCTAATAAACAATACTGGTAATTTTTTTTGGGATATTTTATCATTTTATTTCTTTTTTCTTTTTCCAGAATGTACACAGTGTGTTGGGAGCTCATATGAGGTTGCCGTCTGTACCTCAACACAAGATACCATCTGTATAGGTACATATATATAATAATAGATTACGCAAGCTTTTTTATGCCAGGGGGGGTATCAAAAAATTATAATTTTGCCTTTGCTGGTCCATCATGCAAACCATCTGGAGATTAACAAAGTGAAATATGGGGGCATATGACTGTGTGATATGGATTCATTGCTTCTTTTCAACAGCTTGGGAACATGACATTACCCCACCCACTGGAGTGAGATTTTTAGGGGCTTTATGCTCAAAATTGGTGAATTAAATTTTGGAATTGATTGCACAGTTATCAGAGCAATATCCTGATTTAAAATGAAAAATGTTAACACAGTTTACATCAAGAACTCAAGAACTGCCTTTGGTACAACTGTTTACATTTTGAATTTTTTGAAAAAATATGGGGGGAAAAAAGGCATGTCTCTCATTTCAGAATATACCCCAATATCTATCATAAAATCAGCAAAAACCACTGTTACAAAAAAGTCCTTTCTTTGAAAATTAATGCTCCATAGAATTTTAATGATTTTATAGAGGTGTTTGTCATTATGGTCGAAATAATACAAGTATGGTCAATTTGTTCTTTTCCACAAGTCTAAGTGAGGCTTAGAATTTTAAGTTTTTCTGTGATAAATAATTTAATTAGACAAGTCAGTGTGATATAAAGATGAAAAGATGGACAATCATGTCCTGGGACAGTATTTCTTTATCTCTTTTATTCATAGGCAGTTTCAATTTTATCATGTCAGTACATTGATTTCTGTTGATAAAGTGTATGCCTGATAAATTTGGGAAAAGGACAAAAGCCCTCCCTGACAAAAGTCAGCCCTATTATTTTCATGGGAGGGCATTTGTCCGCCCATTCATTTTTACCAGAGGGCTTTTGTCTGCCGTCGTTTTCACGGGAGGGCTTTTGTATGCATTGTCATTTTTGGAAAAGAGGGCTTTTGTCCGGGAGAGCTTTTGTCCTACACTAGATAAATTTAGCTTTATCAGGCACCTCATCCATACACATTGAAATATAATTGAAAAGAATGGAATATTTTTAACTCTTACTAGTTTGAAAATATTAAACTGATAAACTTTTTATCAAATACAATCATAGTCTGTCGTACATTTGACTTGATCATTTGGGACTATTTCTTAAAGATTTTACCCTTGGCATATAACTGTGTGCGACATGAACTTGAGAGGTTCTTGACAGGTTTTTGTTTCATTTGAAATTTAAAGAAAGAGATGCATATTAAAATTGCAAACATGATAAATAGAATACAAAACAAGTGTCTGATATTATAAGATTTATCAGGCTCAGCACGAAAAAAAAATGAAAAGATGTCTTATTTTTTTCTTAGCCTTGCCTGATAAATTTTGTAATATCAGACACTAGCATGATATTCTCTATTTTCAGAACAGAATTGAAAAAAAATAAATAAAAAGATTATGTGTGCTGATATAACCAAAGTTGTTTTTCACTTACACCAAACAGGCACCTGATCATCACAAATTATTCTTAAGAAAGAAAAAAAATCTTTCAAATTTTATTTTCTCGTTGCAGACGTCACATTTCCTTTGAAGCAGTTTCAGTCAAATGCTCTTCCTATTGAAGGTAAGTTAAGTACATATACATGTATATATGTGTTCAGTGCTGGCAGTTTTGTTGCACCTGAATTTATAGGTTCTCTGAAACCAGGTTGTTTAGTTAAGTGACAGAACAGTACTGTAAATTAAAAAAGTGGACTTTGACAGAAGATCAAATTGTGTAAATAAACTTTCTTTGTCAATAGCAATAGGAAACAAACAAAAATGTTCTTCCCAGAAAATGTTTCTACATTTTAAGAATAATCTTAAAGTCTGATAGAATGTTAATGACAAATATTTGTTCTATACTTAAATATATAGCAAAATATTTAATGCCTCAGTCAATGAGTAATATAAGAAATAATAGAATACATGTTTGGAAGTACTGCACAGAAAGTTATTCAAATAATAACCTGCCCGTCAGCTTAGCTTAATAAGGAAAGCATCAGATTTGTAATCAAGCTGTGATTGGTTCGATCCATAGGCGAGGCGCAACTTTCCCATGACAATTGATCTGGAGCATTGAGTGTAATGGTCATTTGTTTCTTACCACTGATTCAGAAATCATATGGGATTAGAAGTAGGTCAGTTGTGGAGAAATAAGTTAATACTGGATAGTTATCCAAGAAATCTCATCAGATGGACTAACCACCAAGATACAATGTATATCAAGAAATGAGCCGGGTCACGACAAAACCAACATAATGGGTTTGCGACCAGCATGGATCCAGACCAGCCTGCGCATCCGCGCAGTCTGATCAGGATCCATGCTGTTCGCTTACATACTCTATTACAAGTGGAGAAACTGATAGCAAACAGCATGGATCCTGATCAGACTGCGCGGATGCGCATGCTGGTCTGGATCCATGCTGGTCGCAAACCCATTATGTTGGTTTTGTCGTGACGTGGCTCAAATGTTTTTAAAATCATCATAAAAATCAGATGAACAAAACTCACATAATAACCAATGCATCAACAATAAGATTTTTGTGTACGAATTGGTTTTAAATCAGAGATGTCACCAATGACCCCATCGTTTGCCTCAATCTGGTGACAGTCTATTTCAAAGCAAACAAAAAAGCCAGTTTTGTGAGAATTGAAATGTTTTGCCTGAAAATACAAAATGTAAAGTAAATTAACTAGTTGACAATTTACACACAATAGTTGTAAACTGTTTGCTTCAAAGTTCCAAAATTGTTTGTGCCCGCGTGTAAAATGGTGTTTTATGACCGTCTGCTGTTTTATTGTACATATATATACATAATTGATAGTTTGGGAACACAGAAAGTACAAGATTTATGTCACTTCAGACTGCATTTTTTATGACAAGTAGATAAAACAGTATATTCTAACAGGCTCCAAGTGAGAATTAGGACACCATAATACACAATAATCTTGTTTTGGACCTGTTATTTTGTGTCATGCTTTTGTTACTTTTTTTATTGCCCATGGTAAATGTTAATGTTGTCTTTGATTGTTTAGTGCCGTGCATATTTCTGGCTTTAATGATAGGTACTTCAATTTACTACAGCACCTCTAAACTAAAGAAAATTTATGACATTGCAAAGAGTCACAAAATGTCGGGCATACATATAATTTACTCCTGTTTGTTGTTATAAGTTTTATCCAGGGTTAACACACAGGGCTTGTATATAATCAGTTATAAAGATTTGTGACAGGTTATATGACCATAAACAGTTGTAAGCTTATATAACCCAAGCAACTTAACAAGGCTTATATAGCAAACATCAGGGGCGTTTTTTGACTCTTCTTCTGCAAGCCTGTTCTTTGTTTGATGGTGAAAGCAGTCGACAATTCTGCCAATGGCATCGATTTGTTCAAAGGCATCATTGTTATATACAAAACGGTTCTTTTTACAGGGCCACCTCTTGAGTAAGTCACAATAGGTCAAACAATCATCCAGGGTACTTTGGATGATTTGACCTTGACCTGCTGTGTGCCTTCTCTTTGATGAGTACACCTCAGGAAGGATTATTCAAACAATGGTCATATAACCTGTGTTAAGTTGGTTATCCATGAAAATGCTTCAACATTATTTGAGTATATTGATAAAGATGTAAAATTGTCAGGTGAAAATGGATTTAAGACAAATAATAAATTAATTCAGTAGTATAGCAACACTTTGAGATTTAAATTGAGATTTGTGAATGTTTAAGGGGTATTATAAAAGCTCTATCTTGTGAAATATTTATTAACGGTTAAATCGTATTGTGTCCATGATTTTAAGATTGATTCTCAAAAGAGTTGTAACATAGAATGACTCAGTTTTTTACACTCTTGAAAATTTAATGTAATCAAAATAAAATATTTTTGACCACTTCAGATCTGGTGAGTTGGAATGTGACACTGTCAAAAAATGTGTTTCTTGAAAGACTACAGTCAATTAAGAAACTGGAGACCACTTTGTACTTGTCCAGCAATAAACAAGCTCTACAGTTTGTGTGGAGGAGACCAAATTCAGGTAATATTCATAGAGTACCTAATTCAGGTATTATTCTACCTAATACTTTCATGATCTTTGTCATTTTTGGAACCTTGATGAACGCAATTTTTATACCAAAACTTGTAGTTTAAATAAAATTGAAGTAAGGCAATCAGTGCATGGACGTGATGTTGTCTCGATATTTAATGATATTAACATTATTTCTAAACCAGTCTGACATATCATTTTACAATATTCCTATAATTGACCAACATATCGTTTAACAATATTCCTAAATCAGTCTGACATAGCATTTAACAGTACTACTTAACCAGTCTGACATTTCATTTAACAATATTTCTAATCCAGTCCGACACATCATTTTACAATACTCCAAAACCAGTCTAAGTTCTTTTCATTTAACATTATTCCTGAACCAGTCTGGCATATCATTTAACATTACTCCTAAACCAGTCTGCCATATAATTTTACAATATTCCCTTACCAGTCTAACATATTATTTAACAATATTCCTAAACCAGTCTGACATATCATTTTACAATACTCCAAAACCAGTCTGACATATTTAATAATATTCCTGAACCAGTCTGTCTTATCATTTAACAATATTCTGAAACCAGTCTGACATCATTTAACAATATTCCCTTACCAGTCTGACATCATTGGTAATAATCCTAGGCCAGTTTGACTTAACATTTTCAATGTTCCATAACCAGTCTGACATCATTTGATTCACCATATTCCTAAACAGTTTAGTAAACCAGTCTTACAAACTCTTCCAAAATATTATATGGTATTTATAAATCAGGCTGATGATTGGTATACAAGTAAAACAATGTGTTTATATGGTACAGGTTTAGAGATTCATGTGAAGGCATCTGATGTGTATCTTATACCAGAATATGTTGATGTAGACCATAAGGATCGTGATGATGAGAAATTTGTCATGAAAGCCAATACTTTTCCAGAGGACATCAAAAACTTACTAAGATCAATTAGAAGAAGCCATTGCAGGTACTTTAGCCAGTTTGATTATTGACATGTTTGGGTTATGTTTGGGTTTGAATGCTCCCATTTCACAAGGGTGTGGGTGATAAAGATTTGCCCATGTTTGTCCATCCCACTGCCACTTAAACAGTGGGATGTAAGGGCATGTCATGTAAAGGGGATATACTTAATCCAGCTTGTTCATGCTGTTGTCTGGTTGTCAGTTTGTCAGAGACATAACTTTAAAACTATTGGAGGTATCATCTTGAAACTTTTGGGTGCCCAACTTTAAAACTATTGGAGGTATCATTTTGAAACTTTTGATGCCCTGCTGGTGTGGCTAGACTGTGTGTATGGGGGTGGGGGAGGCTGCCTTGTTGCCTTGCCATGTTGGTCTTTGTTCTCATATGAGCCGCACCATGACAAAACCAACATAATGGGTTTGCGACCAGCGTGGATCCTGACCAGCCTGCGCATCCGCGCAGTTTGATCAGGATCCATGCTGTTCGCTATCAGTTTCTCTACTAGAAATAGGGTTGGTAAGCGAACAGCATGGATCCTGATCAGACTTTGCTGGTCGCAAACGCATTATGTTGTTTTTGTCATGGCACGGCTCATTTCTTTTGCAAATATTTAGACAAAGTGCAGTGATTTGGTACTTACTGTTCCTCGAAATTGTGCATACTTTATTTTTGTCTGGTGCAAAAACTGTACTTGTGTATTAAGTACATTTAAACTGTACATTGAAGAGATCTCATGTAGGCAAAGTGACCATAGCCTTTTTTTTTCTTCATAATTCATTATTTATTGTTCTTTGTAAATTTTTTATAATTAATTTTTTTCTGGAGCATATTAATTCAAAAAGCGTTGGAAGGTATCAGCACAGCTGCCTTGTACTTTATTATGATTGAAATCGGGCAACATGTTGCATTAAAAAAATGATACCTCTGTTCTACATAATATTACAAGCTTGCACATCTGTTTATCTTCTCCTGTTTGTTGTAAAACAACAATTTTAATGGCTATTTTATTATTCATATTCTCAGTACGAAATCATGTCAGAGCTTACAATACATAATAGCTTGTCACTAAATTATTTCCAAGTAAAACTTGATTTATATGCATTTAATAATAATTTTGTTCATCATGTTTTCACAATATGCTTTAGTCCCCTCACTCAGCTTAGAAGTGAGTGCATGATCCAGGCAGGGATGGCAGGTTCAATCCTCAGACGAGGCAAAATTTATTCTGTGACTATTGATGTGGGACATTGTGTCTAATGGTCATTTGTCTCTTAACACTGTTTTCGAAAAATCTTAATTGAGCTGCGTCACGACAAAACCAATATAATGGGTTTGCGACCAGCATAGATCCAGACCAGCCTGCGCATCAGCGCAGTCTCATCAGGATCCATGCTGTTCTCTATCAGTTTCTCTACTTGTTATAGGGTTTGTAAGCGAACAGAATGGATCTTGATCACACTGAGCGGATGCGCAGGCTGGTCTGGATCCATGCTGGTTGCAAACCCACTATGTTGGTTTGTCGTGATGCGGCTCATATGAAATTAACAGACGGTCACTTGCAGAGAACTCAATAATTACTGGGAAAGTCGATAAGGTGGATCGACTGCCCACATTATGACTAAATCATTTGTTTAAATTCGTGTAAAACTAGATAAACAAATAAACAAACATAACATGTTTATCCAACTTTATTTCAGGCACCCTTTACCAGACGAGTATGAACTTAATTTAGACATTGCTAAGAATATTGCCACACCTGCCAGGGAGTTTCCGTGTGATACTAAAAATAGAAATGGCCCAGAATGCCCTCACGGTTATAAAGATGGTGACATGTATGTTTACCAGATACTTGATAGACTGTGTCCTAAGGTTAGTACAGATTTAGAAATATTGTGGCCAAAACTTTGAGGGTTTTTTTGTGACAATAATTTTTAAAACAACAATCATATTCAGGTAGATTTTTGTCCTAAATGATATTTTCTTGAAGATTTTTATTTTTAACCTAGTAAGTAATTTTGAACGTTTCTGTTTTTTAAAAGATGTTTATACAGTATACAAAACTTTCTTTTTTTCTGTGGAAAACTGATGAAAATATCATTTTCTTGAAGGTTTTTTCATCCCCTGTACAGTAAATTTAATAAGTTTTTACTTCTCAAAATAATATATTTACATAATATTTATTACATGATGATTGCTGTGGAATGTCTTTTAGTGGGTTAAGGTAACCTTTTTCCTTGTAAGTAAGTTATAACCTGTGACTTTTTTTCATGAATGGTAAAACATCATTGCTGGACTCGATGATCCTTTCTGTATTTTTTGCCTGAGAAAATTATTTCTCTGAATGTGACTGCTAAGGATGCTTATACTTGAGCTTTAAATTAATTAATTAAATACAATAGATTTTGTCTATTAAATTTCTGTTAACCAGCATCTTATTGATTTCTTATTATGTGTTGAACTGTTATTTCAGGTTGACACAACCAGAAGTCAGACTTTTGGATATTCTTCAAACAATATTCTTTGTTCTGGGAACACAGAAATGTTGAAATCAATCTTCAATATGGAGGTAGATGATCCGACCTTTCTTAACTTCCCGAGTGAAGAGTGCAAAAAAAGTGAAGAGAATTGTGGAAGATGTTTGTCAAGGGATGCTTGTGACAGGGGTTTGTATTATAGTCCTTTTTTACACCTAGTAAACATAGTTTGGGCAGGGGGCTTATATTGTATAATCGATATTTTCATGAAGCCAAAATTTTGCAAAAAGGACATTTCACACTAATTGGTGAGTTTTTACTTATGTTATGTTGAATTTGTATGAATCACTATGTGAGTTCCAATGCTTCCATTATACCTGTCCTGGTCTTTGAATATGTCCTTACGGTAGGTGTGTAGGTGTTGGTATAAAAATTGTTTAACAATAGTTCTAGTTTCAACTTGGATAAGTTTATTTGTTAAAATCTTAAAATCTTTATCAGTGATTCAGTTCTATCAATGTGAGGGATCCATAGCCAGTTGGTTATTCTAAGAACTTCAGAGAACTTGCCTTTCATTGCTGTGGGTTCAAATACCACCAGGGACTTCAGATTCTTTCATGTGAGGAAGTTATTCTGTTGACTTCAAAGAATTTGCCTTTCAATACTGTGGGTTCGAATCCCGTCAGGGACTTCAGATTCATTCATGTGATGAAGCTATTCAGCTGGCTTACAGAATGTCGGTGGTTCTACTCAGGTGCCTGCTTGATCATGCCTGAAATAATGAACAGAGTGGCATCTGACGTCTTCCTCTTCCAATAAAGCTGGATAGTCGCCATAATTATGACCTCTTCTGTGTTGGTACAATGTAAAACCCAACCAATCCTTAATGCTTGCCTTTTCCAAAGATAACACCTAACTGAATCATAGATGATGCTATGTTATAGTAGTAATAAGGGAATTTTTGCTTGTATTTTTTTCAGGTTCAAATTTAACCGACTGTTGTAACATTGGCTGCCATCAGTTGACAGACTGTAAAAGATATTTCTCGGCTCAGTGCCCAAACGCACCTATAGAATGTGCAAGGGGTGAGGTCATTTTATATTATCATAGGCTTTTTATGAATATTTTCCATTCATATAATAAGCAATTTCATTCTCACTACAATAAAAAGAAGAATGTTTTTATGATATATCAATTAACCCTAGGGGAAAATACATTTTAAAGTTTTTATAAAATAATGTTTTCACATTATAAGGTTTTCACATTTCACATGATACTGTTTTCACATTTTAAGGTTTTCACATGTTCAGGTTTTCTCATTTAAAATGATAAGGTTTCAACATTTTTAGCGCTTTTTCTTTATAAAATATTTTTATTTTAAGGTTATCTAGAATGTTTGCACATTTAAAGGTTTTCACATTAGAAGGTTTTTAACCAGGTTTTCAATTTTGAAAATCCTGGTTATTAGATTGGGGTATGGCGGGCGGATGGGCGGATGGGCGGCTGGGCGGATGGGCGGGCGGGCGTCAAATGAAATTGTGTCCGCTCTGTAACTCTTCAACCCTTTGAAGAATTTTGATGAAACTTCAGACAAATGTTTACCACATCAAGATGACGTGCAGAACGCATGTTCCGCATGGCTGGCTCCAAGGTCAAGGTCACAGTGACATTAACATTGAAAATCCTGTCCGCTCTGTAACTCTTCAACCCTTTGAAGAATTTTGATGAAACTTCAGACAAAATGTTTACCACATCAAGATGACGTGCAGAAACGCATGTTCCGCATGGCTGGCTCCAAGGTCAAGGTCACAGTGACATTAACATTGAAAAATCCTGTTTACATGATTTTAACTTCGGGCGTCAAACGAAATTGTGTCCGCTCTGTAACTCTTCAACCCTTTGAAGAATTTTGATGAAACTTCAGACAAATGTTTACCACATCAAGATGACGTGCAGAACGCATGTTCCGCATGGCTGGCTCCAAGGTCAAGGTCACAGTGACATTAACATTGAAAATCCTGTCCGCTCTGTAACTCTTCAACCCTTTGAAGAATTTTGATGAAAACTTCAGACAAATGTTTACCACATCAAGATGACGTGCAGAACGCATGTTCCGCATGGCTGGCTCCAAGGTCAAGGTCACAGTGACATTAACATTGAAAATCCTGTTTACATGATTTTAACTTCGGGCGTCAAACGAAATTGTGTCCGCTCTGTAACTCTTCAACCCTTTTCAATTTTGAAAATCCTGGTTATTAGATTGGGTATGGCGGGCGGGGCATGGGCGGCTGGGCGGATGGGCGGCTGGGCGGATGGGCGGGCGGGCGTCAAACGAAATTGTGTCCGCTCTGTAACTCTTCAACCCTTTGAAGAATTTTGATGAAACTTCAGACAAATGTTTACCACATCAAGATGACGTGCAGAACGCATGTTCCGCATGGCTGGCTCCAAGGGTCAAGGTCACAGTGACATTAACATTGAAAATCCTGTCCGCTCTGTAACTCTTCAACCCTTTGAAGAATTTTTTGATGAAACTTCAGACAAATGTTTACCACATCAAGATGACGTGCAGAACGCATGTTCCGCATGGCTGGCTCCAAGGTCAAGGTCACAGTGACATTAACATTGAAAATCCTGTTTACATGATTTTAACTTCGGGCGTCAAACGAAATTGTGTCCGCTCTGTAACTCTTCAACCCTTTGAAGAATTTTGATGAAACTTCAGACAAATGTTTACCACATCAAGATGACGTGCAGAACGCATGTTCCGCATGGCTGGCTCCAAGGTCAAGGTCACAGTGACATAAACATTGAAAATCCTGTCCGCTCTGTAACTCTTCAACCCTTTGAAGAATTTTGATGAAACTTCAGACAAATGTTTACCACATCAAGATGACGTGCAGAACGCATGTTCCGCATGGCTGGCTCCAAGGTCAAGGTCACAGTGACATTAACATTGAAAATCCTGTTTACATGATTTTAACTTGATTTGGCAGTCAAAGGTCATATCATCTTTGGAGGTAATTTTAAAAAAGATGGGCGGGCGGTCAAACGAAATTTTGTCCGATCTGTAACTCTTCAACCCTTTGAAGAATTTTGATGAAACTTCAGACAAATGTTTACCACATCAAGATGACGTGCAGAACGCATTTTCCGCATGGCTGGCTCCAAGGTCATGGTCACAGTGACATTAACATTGAAAATCCTGTCCGCTCTGTAACTCTTCAACCCTTTGAAGAATTTTTGATGAAACTTCAGACAAATGTTTACCACATCAAGATGACGTGCAGAACGCATGTTCCGCATGGCTGGCTCCAAGGTCAAGGTCACAGTGACATTAACATTGAAAATCCTGTTTACATGATTTAACTTCGGGCGTTCAAAACGAAATTGTGTCCGCTCTGTAACTCTTCAACCCTTTTGAAGAATTTTGATGAAACTTCAGACAAATGTTTACCACATCAAGATGACGTGCAGAACGCATGTTCCGCATGGCTGGCCTCCAAGGTCAAGGTCACAGTGACATTAACATTGAAAAATCCTGTCCGCTCTGTAACTCTTCAACCCTTTGAAGAATTTTGATGAAACTTCAGACAAATGTTTACCACATCAAGATGACGTGCAGAACGCATTTCCGCATGGCTGGCTCCAAGGTCAAGGTCACAGTGACATTAACATTGAAAATCCTGTTTACATGATTTTAACTTTGGGCGTCAAACGAAATTGTGTCCGCTCTGTAACTCTTCAACCCTTTGAAGAATTTTGATGAAACTTCAGACAAATGTTTACCACATCAAGATGACGTGCAGAAACGCATGTTCCGCATGGCTGGCTCCAAGGTCAAGGTCACAGTGACATAAAACATTGAAAATCCTGTCCGCTCTGTAACTCTTCAACCCTTTGAAGAATTTTGATGAAACTTCAGACAAATGTTTACCACATCAAGATGACGTGCAGAACGCATGTTCAGCATGGCTGGCTCCAAGGTCAAGGTCACAGTACATTAACATTGAAAATCCTGTTTACATGATTTTAACTTGATTTGGCAGTCAAAAGGTCATATCATCTTTGGAGGTAATTTAAAAAGATATGATATATTATTTCATGTCTACTTTGTAACTTGTTTTTCATTATACAGAATTATCAATATAATTATAGTGAACAAATTCTCTTCTGTGCTGAACTCGTCCTACATTTCTCAAGGGGATTTTGTTCAAACTTTTACAGAAGCTTTGTCATCAAGCACCCTGGCACATATTGTCGGGGGTTTGTGATTGGATAGTTTTTGACCTAATTATGGCCCTTTGTTTTTTTCCTTATACATAATATATTATAGTGAACAACTTCTTCAGTGGCAATTCCTCCTACATTATTCATGTTTTACATTGCACATAGTTACATTGTTTGTTGCTTGTATTTGTATTTCAAATACAACATATTTATCTACAATGGTGATAATTGAAAACCTGGTTTCATGGCATTGCCATGTTTCTTGTTTTACATTTAAAGGTTTTCACATTATAAGGGTTTCACATTTTAAGGTTTTTCACAACTTAAAGTTTTCACATTTCACATATTTTCACATTTTAAGGTTTTGCATAAAATTTCACAGTTTAAAATTTTTTACATCATAACATTTTCACATTTCACTATAAAAAGGTTTTCACATTTGCTTATAAGGTTTTCACATTTTAAGGTTTTTACATTACAAGTTGTTTGTTACCAACCTTGCCATGAAAAAATTCAGATTCCAATGTTAGATAGACAGATACATGAAGATACTTTTATTTCCTCCAATATTTGAAGAGCTGATTGTAATGCAAGAGCTGAAAAGGAAAAAAAATGAATTGTGTATTTGATTTATACTGATCTGTCCTATCAGTATTGGGAAAGTTGTTTACATACAACACAAATTTTTATGCTCCCCGAAAAATTTCGGGGGAGCATATAGTCGGCGCCTTGTCCGTCTGTCCGTCTGTCCGTCCGTCCGTCTGTCCGTCTGTCCGTCCGTTGTCTTGTCCGGAGCATAACTTTGAAAACCCTTGGAGATAATTTGTTGAAACTTCATACAGTGGTAGAGGGCATCGAGGGGAGTGCAGTGTCAAAGAACCATATAACTCTATTTGCCCGGTTTTGAATTATCTCCCCTTATAGAAAATCTGTTGTCCGGGGCATAACTCTAAAACTATAAGAGATATCAACATGAAACTTTGTAGGTGAATAGATCTCAATGGGTAGATGTGCAGTGCATAAGAACAATAACTCTTTTCATCCTAATTTTGGAGTTATTGCCCTTTGTTAATTTTAATACTTTGAAACTTTGTCCGGAACATAACTTGAAAAACCCTTGGAGATAATTTGTTGAAACTTCATACAGTGTAGAGGGCATCGAGGGGAGTGCAGTGTCAAAGAACCATAACTCTATTTTGCCCGGTTTTTGAATTATCTCCCCTTATAGAAAAATCTTGTCCGGGGCATAACTCTAAAACTATAAGAGATATCAACATGAAAACTTTGTAGGTGAATAGATCTCAATGCATAGATGTGCAGTGCATAAGAAAACAATAACTCTTTTTGTCCTAATTTTGGAGTTATGCCCTTTGTTTATTTAATACTTTGAACTTGAACTTTGTCCGGAACATAACTTGAAAAACCCTTGGAGATAATTTGTTGAAACTTCATACAGTGGTAGAGGGCATCGAGGGGGAGTGCAGTGTCAAAGAACCATAACTCTATTTTGCCTGGTTTTTTAATTATCTCCCCTTATAGAAAAAATCTTGTCCGGGGCATAACTCTAAAACTGTAAGAGATATCAACATGAAACATTGTAGGTAGATAGATCTCATTGAGTAGAGGTGCAGTGCAAAAGGAACCAAAACTCTGTTAAGCCTTATTTTTGAATAATCTCCCTTTTAGAAAATCTTGTCCAGGACATAGCTGTAAAACTATAAGAGATATCGAACATGAAACTTTGTAGGTAGATAAATCTCAATGGGTAGATGTGCAGTGCACAAGAATCATAACTCTACCTTGCCTAATTCTGGAGTTATTTGCCCTTTGTTTATTTTTACTTTTTGAATTGTCCAGGACATAACTTGGAAATCATAAGAGATATCATCAAGAAACTTTGTAGGTTGATAGATCACATTGATTAGAAGTGCAGTCTCTGCAAAGAACTGTAACTCTGCCTTGCCTAATTTTGGAATTATTGCACTTTGAACTTTTTCCACGGACATAACTCTGAAACTACAAGAGGTGTACTTTCCTGTGTCCAAAACCTATTCGGGGAGCATCACCCGGCTTCAAACCGGGGCTCTTGTTATCCTTAGACTTTGTAAACAATGATATAACTTTTTTACATATCGAGTAAATACGATAATATTTAATGTGC